CTTATTTTTTTCATTCCACGTAACTGTTATCATTTTTTTGTCTATAAATTTTGCAAGCATTTACCTTCTTAAAATTTTCTTAGATTAAGGACCTGCCCGAAACGCTGCGCGTGCTAGTGGCTTTACAAGACTGTAATTACCATATTATGTATCCTCACATTCCCAATGTACATTCTTGTATATGCATAAATAAATAAATAAATAAAGAGTTGCTCGGTCGATCGACCTGTCCGGGGTCGGAGCTCGGCTATTATAAAAATACACGTATCTTCGCTTTAAATTTAAATATGCCCATGGTAAGGTATTTAGAATGAAGCTTATATTTCTATCTTTCTTGTGACATATAAAACTCTTACGTTTATTAAGAAATCTGCGTGAAATAGGCATGGTTCTGAGATGAATGCTGCGGTTTTCGAGCTCGACGCGCGACAATGGACGCCAAACACATCCAGTGGGTGTTATTGGACCCCATACCCATTCTATGGATGGTTGGAGCCCCATACTCATTCTATGGGTGGTTGGAGCCCCATACCCATCCTGTGGGTTGTAGTGGACGCTATACTCATCCTGTGGGTGGTATTGGACCCCATACCCTTCCTGTGGGTGGATGTGGTCCCCATACTCATCCTGTGGGTGGATGTGACCCTCATACCCATCCTGTGGGTGGTATTGGACCCCTTACCCACCTAACAGGTGGTAGTGGACAGGTGGTAGTGGACAATATACCCATAACAGGTGGTAGTGGACAATATACCCATCCTAGCTAGTTGGTATAGTAGACACAATAATATCCTGTTTGCAGTAGTTTACCCCATAGACATTCCAACGTAACATCGTTTTCTGTTAGCGTTCCTACAAAACATCCTTTAAAGATTTGTAAAACACAAACTATGGTATATAATATTGATTGACGAAGGACTGTTATTCTATGTAATAATTTTTAGTGCTTATTATGATTTACTAAGAACAACTAATATTTCTCAAAACAAAACTACGAGCCTTCAATAGGAAGTAGCTGATCTGTAATATTCTAAGAGCATGGACAATAGTAGGTAAATTTTACAACCCATGTGGGATCTGAAAACTACAATTTTCCTTATAATTGAACCAATCACGACTATTCTGCTATCTAGGTTGACGGATGGATACTGTGAGATGTAAATTGGTACGTGAGGAAGAGTTTGGGTTTTGGAAAAAAAGTAACTGGGAATATATCACATATTTACTAAGTCATATTCAACATATTGACTTTAAGCATTAAGTCATATATGTGCTGTCTTGTGTGAGAACGGGTTGCATGCTGCTGTATTACTAAATATCTTTATTATAATAAATAAACACTGTCAACAAAATAAATATCTTTCTGATTACTAGTTAGTTATTCGTACCACTATCTCAACATAAATAACCAAAAATTTCTTGTTTCGTGCTACTTGGAAAAGTTATAAGGTAAATGTGATGATCTATCATCATGTGAGGAAGAAGAATTATTAATAATAAAATCGTTTCGGGAAATATTGTCATAAGTGAGAGAAATGTCAGGTAAAAATTGGCCTTTTTATTTAAATCGATATGGTATTCCAATTATTCTGTTAAGATTTTGTTTCATCCTATAAAACCTTTCTAGTTCTTGTATTAATAATAATGATTGAATGAAAAATTAAATATGATTGATTAATGGATAAAAAAATAAAAAAAAGACTACAAATTTACACCATTTAGTTTCTTCGATAATTTCTTCTTCAGGTGTCAAATCATTATTTATATGAAAAACTTCTCTGATTTCTTCTACTGTCATTCCCTTAATAATATTGGCAAACATCTTGCTTCCCTTGTCAACTAGATGTTAATATTTAAATAATTTGCAGCCAAAATTATTGGCAACCATAAGCTTTTAACTTGTTCAAAAAAATCAAATTCCCATTTTGAAAATGACATCACTGAACTACTAATAGTATTATCATCATGGTGGTTATTGTGATGGTAGCTACACCATTCAATTATTCTTTTTAAAATACTAGTATTTACATTTGGAAGTGGAATGGCTTCATCATTGGAATTATCATACAAATCACTGAAGGGAGTCTAATTACGGGAAAATAAAAAATGTTTCGATTTTTTTCAAAATTTATTCATGTAATGGTTATAGAAAGGGCTGCAACTAGTCCAAGTTTCAGCATCACACCCTAAATAGAAAGGGGAAAAAAATACACAACTTATTATGCAACGAATTTTCAACATTTTCAACAAACTTCAGGGAACACATGTGTCAAATAAAATCATTTCTATAACACTCAGATATCACATTAGCATGTAATAAAGTATTTCAAATAAGAGTTTTAGCCAAAAAGCGTTTAGTGCAGCAATACAATTATTCAAAGTTCTCCTTCCAAAAATATGCAATATATGATGTTAATTAATATTTATAAAATCAATAAATGGACTTTGGACTACAATGTTATTTGACATTGTAAAAGCACAAACTCTACATATAAGGTGTAATTTGCATGCAAATTGATTAATAAATGAAACCTGTGAAGCACCTTGAAGTTGTAAATTACTTACCTGAGTAAAATAAGATCAAAGTTTGGCCACCTGTAGCCGAGCTTGACGTCTACCAATTTCGTTCATAATTGGCACCCTTGCAGATAGGCATCCATTCAGCAAGGTGCGTAAGTTCCATGCAAATCCCCTGATAACAAACGAAAAAAAATGGAAAAAAAATAAATAAAACTGCATACAAATATATATATATATATATATATATATATATATATATATATATATATATATATATATATATATATATATATATATATATATATATATATATATATATATATATATATATATATATATATATATATATATATATATATATATATATATATATATATATATATATATATATATATATATATATATGTGTATATATATATATATATATGCACATATATATTACAATTATTTATTACAAAATGTCTAATTATAACACTAAAACATTCTAACCTATTGTAATTGGTCCGAATTGTGGGTCCTCAAGGTGGCACTGCAATGGGCACTAATAGGCACCTGCCCTATAGCTGGGATCACCTTCCTCAGGAGCTTGTCTCGGCTTGGTGGTGCGTGTCGTTGGTTTCTGCATCAACTTCTCCTTTCTACTGAAGTATCAATCAGTTATATCATTCTCATTACTCGAGGAGGGTGTGTGTGGAGGGTCGAGGTGGGTGAGTGAGAAGGGGGCGAGTCACGCCTCACAGCTGATGCCGGGAGGCCACCACAATCTCCTTGATATTACTCGTCTTTGCGCTAAAGCTACTTTCTTTTGCTGATAAAGACTGCGAACGAGTGCCAGATTTGCTGCTCTAATCTTGTGACTCTTCCTCTTACATGTCATTGTGCAGTAGATGCAACAAATGCAATATTCCGGAGCAAAAATAGAGCACGCGTCGACAGAGGATCCTCACTCAACAAGACACAACATGTGACTGCTGGCGTTGTGCCTCACTCACCCCCACTAGGAGGAGACAGTTGCCAATGATTGTATATTTTACATTCATACATACAGAGTTATTTCTGGCATTATTACTAAAAATTTGACATTTAGAACGTACGACACAATACTTTCTGCGCGCCACAGCCGCGGGGCACCGGATTCTGACAAATTACGCATGGAAATGTACCATAAATACATCAATTTATACCATAAAATGATTCGGATTGCACCACAGTGTTGCCAGAACTACGTAGTATTTTTATAAATTTTTCAAAATGTTACGATTTTTCCCGAATTTTTTCATAGTTAGACCCCTGAACATAGTTTTTATAACACCACTCTGTCGAATAATATCAGCTTCTACCTCAAAAATATAACCATCGTTACTTTGGAGTTTTACGGTTGAAGAAGGTGGGGGAGGAAGAGAAGAAGTTGTTGCTATTATTTATTTTAAACACTTTCTTGACTCGGTTGTAAGAGAGAAATACCCCAGATAAGAGATTTCATAAAATCTGAGGGTTGAAATAAATCGTGATGTAGTTGTTGTTGGTTGATGTTTAGTGAATCCTTGGAGTAGAAGACTGCAATAGAAAATATATTTTCATTAAGATGAGACTTGGGGAAATATTGAATGATATAACGAGAACCGAGAAATTTTAAAGTCGCTTCTTTATCATTAAAATATTTTTTACCTTTATTTACTAACTGATGTGGATCCCAGGTGCTCCTGTAGATTTTTAGATTTAAGCTGAGAAGAATGTATCACTAATATGGGCTCTAGGAGTAAAAAGAGAATGGAGGACCAACGATAAGCTACTACTAAACCGCTGTCAGCAAGACTAAAGATATTAATAGTGTGAGGTAAATTAAAAACAGGTGGTATTTTAGGTTTTAGCATTGTAGTTGAAATCCAACCTGGATTGGTAACCATTTCAGAAAAGGAAGAAATCGAAGTTGGAATATCTCAAGTGCATGGCAAATCACAAGTGAAAAATGAAAAAGATACTATACCTTTCTTTTGTGTGTCAATATCATAACCTAAGAGCAAGAGACCTGGTAATTGGCATAGTCGACATCTTCCTCCAACACATTCGTTATGATTATGACTTTTATCAATGGGGAGTGAATTATATACCTGTCTACAGTATTTGAGAAAATTGGCCACTATTTCATAAAAACCTTTATTGTCGTAGTGGGAGGTAATAATATCCATCCTCATAATAATTGCTTGAGGTATTAATACTCCAAGACCAACTTTCATAGGAAAAAGGCATGTAACTAAAGGCGCATTCTTTTAAGTAATTAACTTCTTTGTGACATTTAAACATTCTTTAAATGTTATATGATTATATTTTTTATATTTCTTTTTTTTCCGAACCTTGGACCTTATTTAAACTATCTGTATCATTTATTTGGAAAATATTAAATTTTTACTATAAGATTAAAAAGAAAATTCTATCTGGAATTAATAACCATCCTCCTCTTTATCCTCCCTTCTCCTGCTCACCCTCTACATTAATATTAAATTTAATTCTATCAAATGGAACTAACTCATTAATATTTTTAGCTAACAGTTTACATTCCACCTCATTATTGCCATCTTGAAGTTCAAGTTTCATTATCACATAAGGGGGAAATGAATTTTCTCTAATTGGAAAATCATTTATATAAAATCCCGGAGAAAATATTTTTTGACTTTTGGCATGGGTACATGACAGCCACAATTGGTCCATGGAAAATTGTTTTCCTTCATTTTGTTCTTTTATTTGTAATGCTTCTATACTATTCTTTATTTTGACGTCTTCTATTTCACTAAAATTTCTGTATGTGTCAGGTATGAAATTATAAATATTCCACAGAAATATTAATATAATTGGATTTTTTGTATCATATCCTTTATAGAGATTTGAATTTGAATCAAGTTTATCATAAAATGAACTTTCATTATTGAAGTGGGTTACATTATACCGTGAAAGAAATGAAATAAGAGGTCTTATAGTTTATGAGTTTTTCTTCTATTATTTGGGTTATAGGAAAATGGAGGTTTGGGAATAACAACAAGACCTTTATAAGTTTTTACATCATCTATAAATGGGGAAAACAAGGATTCTAATCTTGATGATGATTCACCAATGGCAGGTTGTAATATTAATTTGTGAGGGGCTTCTGTTCCTACTGTAACTTGTCCGCCGTCTCCTTCAGTTTCTCCTTCTTCCTCCTCTTCCCCCCTCTACCTTAATGTTCAATGTAATGCTATTAAATGTAATGTTCCCAGCCTCAATTTTAAATTCCACTTTATTGTTACCTTCTTGAAGTTCAAGTTTCATTACCACAAATGGGGTAAAAAATCTTCTTCTATTGGAAAAATATTTTTATAAAATCCCTGAACAAATATAGCTTGACTGGCCGCATGGGTATATGATACCCAGAGTCTGTTCAGGTAAAGTGGTTTGGATTGATTTTGTGATTTTACCGCTTCTATATGGTTCTTTAATTGGTCATCATTTATTTCATTCAAATCAGTAACAACATCAACAATATTAGAAATATTCCATGGATATATTAAAACAATTGGGTTCTTGAAATAATACCCTTTATCATATGTGCAATTTTGTTTTATTTTATTTATGTAAAAAGAATCTTTTCGATGCCAATATTTGTAAGCTTGATTTTAATTAAAAAGGAAGTTATTAAAAGGTTTTATTATTGTATTTTCAATTTCGAGTTTATTCTTAAGATTATATGATAAGGGGGATTTTGGAACAATGAAAAAACCTGAATACGTGTTTATATTTTCAATAAAAGGGGAGAATAAAGATTTTAAAATGTTTTTCTTGATGGATAGTAATGATTGGATGATAATAGATTTTGTTTCTGTTGATAGGTCAGAAGAAGAAGATATTAATTGATTGTTGATGGACACTATTGTTTGGTTGATAATGGTCCTCAACTAATCAGGAGATTCCTTATATAATTCGGTTTGACTAGTGAGGGATTGTATTTCTTGATGGATCGACTGTAATGTTTCAGGAGAGAATTCATAGTCCCCCAGTTCCTGAGGCACTGAATGTTGTTCTGTTTGACTCTTGGATGATTGTTAGACTAATGGAGGAGGGTTGTTGAGGTACTACTACCCTGCTCCTGACTTCCTGAGTTAATTCTTCTGAAGTGACTCCTCCTTCTGTTCCTCCTCCTCCTTCTTCTCCTCCTCCTCCTCCGACACTACCTCCTTTTCCTGCTGCTAAATCTACTACTACTCTGGCCCCTTTTACTTCTTCTTCACTTGCCCTTTCACCACCACCTCTATTCCATAAATAAATAAATAATATTAAGAAAAATAGTATAATTAGTAGTAATAATAATATATTCATTTGGTTATTTATATTTATTGTTTTTATTTAGTAAAATTAATTAATACACACATTCTCCTAATTTTACATTTTCGTATGTAGTGTTTTATGTTATAATAATATTTTTGAGACAATTGGGCTAATAGTTATTTTTATACACAGTTCTACAGATTGAACATATAAACAAGGCTAATTTAATGCAAATTTGGAGGAAGCGACCATGTCATTGCATGGATAATAATAAGGTTCACAATTCTTCCTTATGAGGAAATTGGCCTAATAGTATATTTTATATCTGTTCTACAGATTGGACATATAAACAAGGCTAATGCACATTTAGAGCAAGCGACCATATGACTGCAAGGAATAAACACTAGCTCTATCTCTGCATCCATACAAATCTTACACTCACAAATTCTCTCCAATGATGTTTGTCCTATTTTACCTGAAGATCCAACAGAAACTGGTGGCTTTAGGACAGGAACCATTTGTGTTATAGACATTGGTGGTTTTAATTCATCAATTGCTTGTATTAAGATTACAACTTCCGCTTGTGGTGGGCTTAGATTCTGTACTTCCTCTTCTATTTCTTGGTTAGAAGCCAACTCCGTTTGTGTAGTTATATCATCAGATGTTGGTGGGCTTGGGACAACATCAACCTTGGTTAGCGCCACATGATGTGGGCTTAGAGTCTGTACTTCCTCTTCTATTTCTTCTTGGTTAGAAGCCAACTTCGTTTGTGTAGTTATTGGGCTTGGGACAACATCAACCTCGGTTAGCCCCACATGTTGTAGGCTTAGAGTTTGTACTTCCTCTTCTATTTTTTGGTTAGAAGCCAACTCCGTTTTTGCAGTTATATCACCAAATATTGATGGGCTTGGGACAACATCAACCTCGGTCAGTGCCACATGTTGTGAGCTAGTGCTTACTTTGACTTCAACTTCTATTTCTCGGTTAGAAGCCAAATTTAGAGCTTTTCTAGTTTCGTTTTCCATATGGGATAAGACCGCTTCAATACATGACTCAAGGTTAAAGAAAGGTATCCCTTTCTCTTTGAGTTGGTTATGAAAAGTTGTCATCACATGATTTTTAGGAAAACCCATAGAAATTACTGCTTCAATACTGTCTAGTTCTTTAATAAGTTTATCGAGTTGATCTTCATTGATATGAGTTGGTGAAGTATGTGTCTCAAAAGGCGGCCTTTCCTGTTGCACCTAAAAAATAAATTATAATATTTTTAGATTCCAATAATAAGTCAGTCAATCACGTGATGTCACGTTACCTCATCTAGCTAACATACCTGATCAATGAATTCTTTTCTTTTCATCACGATGAGGAATGTACATTCTGGGTACCAGCGAGCATGTTCAATCCAAGGTGAATCATCAGATTCCCAGTTACGAAGTCCGTTCCCACAAATGATAATAGCATACATGATCACTTAGACCTGTAAATATTATATAATATATACATATATATATATATATATATATATATATATATATATATATATATATATATATATATATATATATATATATATATATATATATATACATATATATATATATATATATATATATATATATATATATATATATATATATATATATATATATATATATATATATATATATATATATATATATATATATATATATGCGAACAAGCCTGAATGGTCCCCAGGACATATGCAACTGAAAACTCACACCCCAGAAGTGACTCGAACCCATACTCCCAGAAGCAACGCATCTGGTATGTACAAGACGCCTTAATCCACTTGACCATCACGACCGGACAATAATGAGGTGATAGCCGAGGCTATTTGAACCACCCCACCGCCGGCACTCGGATAGTTATCTTGGGCATAGCATTTTACCAAATCACCTCATTCTTTGGGGCAACACGTGAGGAACACAAATGCGAACAAGCCTGAATGGTCCCCAGGACATATGCAACTGAAAACTCACACCCCAGAAGTGACTCGAACCCATACTCCCAGAAGCAACGCATCTGGTATGTACAAGACGCCTTAATCCACTTGACCATCACGACCGGACAATAATGAGGTGATAGCCGAGGCTATTTGAACCACAACACCGCCGGCACTCGGATAGTTATCTTGGGCATAGCATTTTACCAAAACACCTCATTCTTTGGGGCAACACGTGAGGAACACAAATGCGAACAAGCCTGAATGGTCCCCAGGACATATGCAACTGAAAACTCACACCCCAGAAGTGACTCGAACCCATACTCCCAGAAGCAACGCATCTGGTATGTACAAGACGCCTTAATCCACTTGACCATCACGACCGGACAATAATGAGGTGATAGCCGAGGCTATTTGAACCACCCCACCGCCGGCACTCGGATAGTTATCTTGGGCATAGCATTTTACCAAATCACCTCATTCTTTGGGGCAACACGTGAGGAACACAAATGCGAACAAGCCTGAATGGTCCCCAGGACATATGCAACTGAAAACTCACACCCCAGAAGTGACTCGAACCCATACTCCCAGAAGCAACGCATCTGGTATGTACAAGACGCCTTAATCCACTTGACCATCACGACCGGACAATAATGAGGTGATAGCCGAGGCTATTTGAACCACCCCACCGCCGGCACTCGGATAGTTATCTTGGGCATAGCATTTTACCAAATCACCTCATTCTTTGGGGCAACACGTGAGGAACACAAATGCGAACAAGCCTGAATGGTCCCCAGGACATATGCAACTGAAAACTCACACCCCAGAAGTGACTCGAACCCATACTCCCAGAAGCAATACTCCATTCCATACTCCATTCCCCAAAGAATGAGGTGATTTGGTAAAATGCTATGCCCAAGATAACTATCCGAGTGCCGGCGGTGGGGTGGTTCAAATAGCCTCGGCTATCACCTCATTATTGTCCGGTCGTGATGGTCAAGTGGATTAAGGCGTCTTGTACATACCAGATGCGTTGCTTCTGAGAGTATGGGTTCGAGTCACTTCTGGGGTGTGAGTTTTCAGTTGCATATGTCCTGGGGACCATTCAGGCTTGTTCGCATTTGTGTTCCTCACGTGTTGCCCCAAAGAATGAGGTGATTTGGTAAAATGCTATGCCCAAGAAAACTATCCGAGTGCCGGCGGTGGGGTGGTTCAAATTGCCTCGGCTATCACCTCATTATGTCCGGTCGTGATGGTCAAGTGGATTAAGGCGTCTTGTACATACCAGATGCGTTGCTTCTGGGAGTATGGGTTCGAGTCACTTCTGGGGTGTGAGTTTTCAGTTGCATATGTCCTGGGGACCATTCAGGCTTGTTCGCATTTGTGTTCCTCACGTGTTGCCCCAAAGAATGAGGTGATTTGGTAAAATGCTATGCCCAAGATAACTATCCGAGTGCCGGCGGTGGGGTGGTTCAAATAGCCTCGGCTATCACCTCATTATTGTCCGGTCGTGATGGTCAAGTGGATTAAGGCGTCTTGTACATACCAGATGCGTTGCTTCTGGGAGTATGGGTTCGAGTCACTTCTGGGGTGTGAGTTTTCAGTTGCATATGTCCTGGGGACCATTCAGGCTTGTTCGCATTTGTGTTCCTCACGTGTTGCCCCAAAGAATGAGGTGATTTGGTAAAATGCTATGCCCAAGATAACTATCCGAGTGCCGGCGGTGGGGTGGTTCAAATAGCCTCGGCTATCACCTCATTATTGTCCGGTCGTGATGGTCAAGTGGATTAAGGCGTCTTGTACATACCAGATGCGTTGCTTCTGGGAGTATGGGTTCGAGTCACTTCTGGGGTGTGAGTTTTCAGTTGCATATGTCCTGGGGACCATTCAGGCTTGTTCGCATTTGTGTTCCTCACGTGTTGCCCCAAAGAATGAGGTGATTTGGTAAAATGCTATGCCCAAGATAACTATCCGAGTGCCGGCGTTGGGGTGGTTCAAATAGCCTCGGCTATCACCTCATTATTGTCCGGTCGTGATGGTCAAGTGGATTAAGGCGTCTTGTACATACCAGATGCGTTGCTTCTGGGAGTATGGGTTCGAGTCACTTCTGGGGTGTGAGTTTTCAGTTATATATATATATATATATACATATATATATATATATATATATATATATATATAGTTCTTTAATAAGAACTATATATACTTATATATATATATATATATATATATATATATATATATATATATATATATATATATATATATATATATATATATATATATATATATATATATATATATATATATATATATATATATATATATATATATATATATATATATATATATATATATATATATATATATATATATATATATATATATATATATATATATATATATATATATATATATATATATATATATATATATATATATATATATATATATATATATATATATATATATATATATATATATATATATATATATATATATATATATATATATATATATATATATATATATATATATATATATATATATATATATATATATATATATATATATATATATATATATATATATATATATATATATATATATATATATATATATATATATATATATATATATATATATATATATATATATATATATATATATATATATATGTGACGATAATCTCTTTCAATTGAGCCTGCTCTTCCCTACATAAAGTTACGTTTATTCTACAAGTATAAGATGCTACCTTCAAGATACGTCTACCAGTAGCACAAAACGTTTTCACCAGGAGGCAAAACGTACCCCAAACCCCCAACTCCACACTCCTTCCAAGCCGGCTCGTCATCAACCAGCCAACTACCCTTCCCAGCCTGCCTGCTCCTGATTGGTGATTCGCCGACTGCACACCTGCACACTGCACCTCAGCGCCATCTACCTGAGTTGATGTCTAAGCTTGAACCAGCCATTGACTTCAGAATATCTTGTGCTCTCAAGCCATGAACGACTAACTGATATATGCTGTATCAGGTGGATGTCTCGCAGCTAGCGCCATATTCTCAGCACCTTATTATTTTTCACCTTTCACTTTATATTATTGTAGAGTAAACTTCATCCCTATTATTCATTTATGTTATATTGTTTTTTGACTTGTTCGTTTGCACTGTACTTTGCCAAGGGATTGTCTTTGTTTATAATTTGTTTTCTATATTAAATAAAGTTTCATTGTTTATACTTTGTGTTTTGCGTGTCTTCCCTTACTTTACCACAGACAAACAGGCAAGCAGTCTATCTTTTTTTTTTGTAAGTGTGACTAGGCATTGACACCTGCCATTGGAGAACTGCCGAACATCTACACTTCAACACATTCCCGTCACATTTAATGGGGGCCTGTCCTAGGAGCTTCACTCAGGTACTAGTACTAGAATATCAATTTGTGGTAAGCGTACTTGGCTTTGCTACAGTTGCTTTTCAATATTATCATTAATTCAGAATCATTCAGAATCTTGTACACCACATATGTAAGACGAATCCTGGAGTATGCGGCCCCAGCAAGGAGCCCGTACCTTGTCAAGCACAAGACGAAGCTGGAAAAAGTCCAAAGGTATGCTACTAGACTAGTCCCAGAACTAAGAGGCATGAGTTATGAGGAAAGGCTGCGGGAAATGCACCTTACGACACTGGAAGACAGAAGAGTAAGGGGGGGACATGATCACAACCTACAAAATCCTCAGGGGAATCGACCGGGTAAACAAGGATGAACTATTCAACACTGGAGGGACGCGAACAAGGGGACACAGGTGGAAGCTGAGTACCCAAATGAGCCACAGAGACATTAGAAAGAACTTTTTCAGTGTCAGAGTAGTTAGTAAATGGAATGCATTAGGAAGTGATGTGGTGGAGGCTGACTCCATACACAGTTTCAAATGTAGATATGATAGAGCCCAGTTGGCTCAGGAATCTGTACACCAGTTGAGAGGCGGGACCAAAGAGCCAGAGCTCAACCCCCGCAAGCACAATTAGGTGAGTACACACACTCTGCCTCACACACACGCATTCTGTCTCATACACACACACTCTGTCTCACACACACACACTCTCTCACTCAACACCAACAGAGATATTACAGGAAAGAGATGGTTGGGTTGACTGCATCTATCTGGACCTAAAAAAGGCTTTCGACAGAGTTCCACATAAGAGGTTGTTCTGGAAACTAGAAAATATTGGAGGGGTGACAGGTAAGCTTCTAACATGGATGAAAATTTTTCTGACTGATAGAAAAATGAGGGCTGTGATCAGAGGCAATGTATCGGACTGGAGAAATGTCACAAGTGGAGTACCACAGGTTCAGTTCTTGCACCAGTGATGTTTTTTGTCTATATAAATGATCTACCAGTTGGTATACAGAATTATATGAACATGTTTCAAGATGATGCTCAGATAATAGGAAGGATAAGAAACTTAGATGATTGTCATGCCCTTCAAGATGACCTGGA